GACTTCTAGGTTAGATGAACCAGATCAAAGGCTTAGATTTATTCCATTGGCTTGGGAAGTTGCCTGAGTCCAAAGCAGTCCTGAAGAATGGACAGGTAAGGGTGATGATATTTTTAGAGTTACTTACTTGTAGATGTTGTGCTGGACACTGAGTATTCAGCTTCAAACAAAACAGACTTGGTCCCTTCCCTCATGCAGCTCTCAGTCCCAGAAAGACAGAAAGACCCTCCTGGATAAACCAGAGTAAGTAGGGCCATGACCATAGTTATTTCCTGTTTTAGGACCTCAAAGAATATCATTTCATGTGATTTGGTGGACAGGGGCATTAAAGGAAGGTCTTAATTCAGGGGTTAGGTCTGTATGTGCATATACACTTATATATATACATATATCTGTATGTGTATGCACATCCTTTAGGTTCTCATTATATCTGTCTCTGTGCATGTAGAGAGATTCTTAGGATTTCTGAGATTTTATCTCAATGGCTTCTCAGGAATGCTTTTTATTATTTTTGGAGCTTACACACATATAATAATATTTGTTGCTATTATCAGATAGTCTTATTTTCAAAGCCTGGCTCTAACCTTATTAGGATACACCCCACTTCCGCTAGGGGTCCCTGATCCCCACAACTGGGAGGAGCTGAGACCACCTGCCCAGTCTTCCATACACACACACAGTACATCTGGGGTCTCCAAACCCCCCCCCCCCCCCGCCCCATGCCTCTTGGAAGAACTGAGAGGCAGGCTAGGAACAGGAACCAGGGAGAAGCTAGGGTTTGCCTGGAAGATACTACCCACCAGGTCCCGCCCCCTCACCACCAGGCAAATGACACAAGCAAATGAATTAGAATTCCAGGACTCTGCTTCATCTATGAAATGGGTGTGTTGGGACTTTAGTGAGGCTTTGGAGGATTAAGAAACACAATGTATGACAACTGCCTGGCACAGTGTTAATCTTTACAATGCTTGCTTCCTTGTAAAGACTTGGTTATGCCCCCAGAGTAAGCCATTTCCTGGGAATATGGCCCCTAATTTTTCTCATTCTTTCCACATTGGGAAAATATGGGTGTGTTGCTTGGTGGGGAAAGAACTGGAAGTTACATGGTGCCTCTCCCTCCTTTCCATAATTTCTCATCCAAATGGACAGGAAAATACCCATTGTGTTACATTAATCAGAACTTGGAACTTACATAGTATTTGTTGCTTACAGTAAAGCCCAGTTAATGAGGACTCTTAAACAGAACCCCTAGTTAATCAACTGATTTTTCTCTCTTTCAACTCCTCTATAAGGCAAAATATGCAGAGAGATTAGAGAAGTTGGAGTTTATTAGTAGAGAGCTGTGTTTCAAGAGGCTATCCCCTGTCAAGGATACTGTGCCTCTGTATGTGCCTCCCCCCTAAGATGTAGCCTTGTCTGTCTGTTCATCGCATCCTCTTGAGCCTGGCCCAGTTCCACTTGTGTAGTGAAAACTCAGCAAGCCTTTATTAAATAAATGAAGACAATGTGGGCCCTAGCTAGACATCACTATTGCTGTTCGCTACACATGCCCTGTGTTTACTGACTTCTTTGCTTTTGTTTATGATTGAAGTGCTTTTTCCCAGTTCCTTGTGAACTTTGGGTTGGAGTATTGTTTTTAAAGTTCTGTTTTGTTTATTTGAAAGATGGAATGATAGGGAGAATCAGAAAGAAAGACATCTTCCATCTGCTGATTTACTCTCCAGAAGACTGAATCTACCAGGGCTGGACCAGGCCGAGACAGGAGCCTGGAATTCCATCCAGGTTTCCCACGTGGGTACCGTGGGGGGTCCAAGTATCTGTGCTATCTTTCACTGCTTTTCCAGGTGAGCTAGAAAGGAAGACTAGAACTGGTACTCTGATATATGGGATGCCAGCATTGTACCCAGCATCTAAACCTAGTGTATGACAACACAGACCCTCGATTGGAGTTGTTGATGACTTCTCTGACCTCTTTTGTGAGTTAATGAGTTCCTTATAGGCATCAGCTCTGTCATCCTCATTTTTGAAGAAGTCTTGCACTTGGTATGTCATGTGTTAACTATTATGTAGCACTTGCAATAGTTTTAGTGCTTGCAGATTATGAATATTTACTTGTTTAATGCCTGTAACACCTTCCTTACATATTAGTACTATCATTTGTCCCATAGATGAGAAAACTGAAGCCTTAAGAACCTGAATAACTTGGGTTACTGTGAAGTTTTTTTGAATTCACTGACATTCAGCTGTCTCTGTAAAACACTGGAGATCCGGTCTTTCCAATGGACAGCTTGATGCTGTGGAGAGGCTTCTCGGTTGGCGAGCAGTGTTGCCCCAGGAAATGGTCTTGGCAAAGCAGGCACATGAACTGACAATTCCATCCTTCATTTCTAGAGTTTTTTCCTAGACTTTGAAAGTTGCAGTCTGCATGATCTTTGAGTTGAGAGAGTTGTAGTCTGAAGATCTCAGTCAAGTGTTATAGTTCCATTTTGCAAATGAGGAAGCAAAGTCTGGGCGGAACTGATTGTGGGAGGAGAACTTATGTCTGTCTGTCTCAAGGTTTATTTATTTTATTTGGAAAGCAGAGACAGGTGCACACACACACACACACACACACACACACACACACACACACATTTCCTTCTGATGATTCACTCCCCAAATGGTACAATGATACAATGATCAGGGCCAGGCATTCCATACTGCATTTTCTGCTGCTTGACTTTTCAAAAATCTAAGCCCCATCTAGTTTTAGTTTTTTGAGTTATAAGGCAAAATTTTTTTCACAATACAATTTTTTTTCTTGTCTCTTTTTCCTTCTCTAAATGTCAATTTTTGTCAAAGTTAAACATGGAAAGTCCAGAGATGGCCCTGTATCACAGATGTTAGGGCTGGGGTTGCTGGACTCCTTTGAGAGCCTTTTGTCATGTGACAAAAGTGGCTTCTCATTCCGCTGCCTCCCCGACACTCACTTCCCTTCATAAAGAATCTTCTAACTTTGTCTTGTTACACAGAAGAGCTGATGGGTGTCAAGGTGACGAGCTTTAATGGTGATAATGGTGGGGAGATGGGAGAGGAGAGCCCTCTTGTCCAGTGAAAAATGGAAAAGATCATTTATAACTTGATTTTTTTATTAAGTCAAATTTTCTAAAAAAAGGAAAGTAAAATCTGAATATTTCAGGAATCTGGGTAGAGGTGGGAATTTATTTGAGAATTCTTTGTGTCAAATTATTTCAATAGAAAAAAACAACTATATTTTTTTACAAGAAATGATTGATATCGCAATTTAAAAAAAATTGGTTCAAAGTGTAAAAGGACTTACATGCTGGACCTCTGCAGCCTTGATATATTGTCAGCATCCCAGGCACAGGGGGTGTCCCAGAGTCTTACAGAGGAGGCCAGCAGGCAAAGGAAGGGTAGTTCTCGGTGGGTGGTATAGTTCTTATCGCTACCCAGCAGGCTACCAGGCCACTAAGATAGGAAGAGAGGAGGCAAGAGGGCAAGAGGCACTGATGCTCCTGGAATGTTGGTGGGAGATTGTGAGAAAATGGAGAAAAGAGTAAGATCTGTGGCATGAAGACAAGCACTGTGTTCCCTGAAGCACGCTGAGCTGGGAAGCGTCAGTTCTTGGACAGATTCACCTGGAGGAATTTACAGAATGCTTTCACAGATCCTTTCCTGACAGCACCAGCTGTGGTGTTATCCCCACTGTGCAGAATAGGGTAGTGAGGTCCAGGTGGTGATGCCATTGGCCCTAGGTCCCAATTCATACTTGGCAGAGCTGGGATTTTAACCCAGGCTCCTTCTTTCTTTTTTCTTTTTAAATTTATTTTATTTTAAAATATAATTTATGTGAAAGAGTTACAGTGAGGCAGAGACACACAGGGGAGGAGGTGAGAGAGAGAGAGAATATCTTCTATTCTCTGGTTCATTCCCCAAATGACCACAATTGCCAGAGTTTGGCCAGGCAGAAGCCAAGAAGCAGGAACTTCATCTTGGTTTCCTCTCTGGGTGGCTAAGGCTCAAGAACTTGGAACATCTGCTCTTTTTCCAAGCACATTAAAAGGGAGCCTGATGGGAAGTGGTATAGCTGGGACTCCACCAGCGCTTTTCTGGATTGCTGGCTTTATAAGTACACGGGTAACCTACTATACTGGCCTCAGGAGTCCTTCTTTCTAGGCGGACATTCGGTTACTAATAATGCTGTGTAATAGCATGATGACGGCCTGGGCAAATGTCAGGACAGACATTGTCCCTGACACTTTCTCTGTGTAAACCCCAAACCTGTACATTTTGTCTTGTTCCATCTCCAAATTTCCATTTCACAGCTTCTCAGGCTGGCAGGTGAAGGGGCTGACCTAGCAGCATCGCTTTTGCATAGGAGCTGAGTTGGGCCTTCTTCTGAACCAGAGACTAATTATAATTGGCCTTGCTTTGGGCAAGAGAGGATGATTGTGCCTTCTGACCTTCAATGCAGAGTTTCCACAAGAACCCCCAGAGAACTGAGTGCCACCACAATACTAACCCACATTTATGTGTCTGAGCTGCAGGGGCCACTGACTGCCAACTCTACCAGCCTGCACCTTGAGGGGAAATGAATTCAATTAAGTAGGCAGGTCCCAGTGAGGCTTTCTGCAGTACCATTGTTACTGTTGTGGAGAATAGAAAAATTAAAACCTCAGCTCTCTCTGTCCCACTTCTATCTGCGTTAGTGTTCTGGACAGAGGATCAAACAGGGCCACGTGTGCCTTCACTACTGAATTAAAAGAATAGTTCCCCTTCAGCCAGGATGCCTCTAAGTTTCTGTTTTTCTTCCTCTTTGGCTGTCTGTCCCTTATTCTTGTGTCCTCCACCTCCCTGCACGCCACTGTCATCTACCTCACACTCAACAGCTCCTGCCCCAACCCTGCAAATGGACATGGCAACTTATTGGTTGACGGAAGGGCAGGAGGATGTTGTAACTTTGCTTCTGTAACTTCTCCATTTTTTGTTGTTTGGAACAGAGCAGCACTTTCCAGAGGTGATGCTGGGGGAAGAATTTCTCAGCCTAAGTCTGGACCAGGTGTGCAGCTTGATATCCAGCGACAAGCTGACCGTGTCTTCGGAAGAGAAGGTACGGCATGGCCCTTTGGTGAGATAGGAGCCTCACTTGTGAGATGGGATCCTTGTGTTTTAGTGTGATCATTCTCAGAGAAAAAAAGGTGGTTTTTTTGAAAAAAAAATCTATTTAAATCAGGAAACAAAATAAGCCAACAGCAATGACAAGAGCAATAAGACTTTTTGGCCCAGGACCCGCACATTTTGGATCCTTAAGAGAAGAAATGGCAGTGATGATGATGACAACAAAGTCACATGTATTTGCTGAACATTTGCTAAATACTCAGCCCTCACTGCTGCCCTTTGAAGCAAGCATTGCTGTCATCCCTTGTTACAGAAAAGGAAAACTGTTCAGATTCCGCTCTGACCAGGAAGAAGTCCTTTCCTCTTGGAGATGTAGTTCCCACAGCGAAAACAGTATGAGCTTTGGTGTCAGCCAGCTGGGTCTAAATCTCAGCTCTGGTATTTGTATATGCGTTGTGTGACCCTGAGGGAGATCTTTGCCTCTCCTCTGTTTCTCCATTGTTAAAGTGAAAATGATAGCACAGGGCGTTTGTGGGGACTCCTGGGGGTGATATGCCTTGTTAAAAGTCTGTACCTGGAATTGGTCCACCCTCCTCTGTATTCCAGGATGACACTTTGTTTTCCCTTTTGGTAGAGTTAATGCTGTACCCATTTTGCCTTCCAAACTGAACCCAAGTTGCCTAGTTCCGGGCTGCTACATCTAGCTCATCTCTGCATCCTCTGAGGTGCTCTGTAAGTGCTTCTTGACGTGTCTTAGTGCACTCGTTAACATCAAGCTTGAGACTAATTCTTGAGGAAATATTAGGTTAAAAAAATACTTGAAAAGGTTTTTATTACATTAGAGATGAAATTATGTCCAATTGGACGTGCCCCCAGGATGGAATAAGACTTTCAAGCCTCAACCTGGCATCCTGGAAAAGCTCAATCAAGAAAAGAGTAGCTGTTTGTTAGATTTGTGGGCACTGAGACTTCTGCTGGGTTCCCGAGGTGACGATTGGCCCGGCAATCTGGATTCACTCAGGCTCAGAGAAGCCTCTGCTTCCATGACCTCTGGTCATGCAAAGCCAAGAGTGCTGCTGGCCAGGCCACCTGCCCCACCAGCCATTATCTCAGAAAACAAGTGGATGCCCTTGCTTCTTGCCAGTGCCATTCACTGTCTTCTCTGATTTTACTAACAAATTAGCACAATTGGAAGGAATGAATCAGTTCATTGCTGTGTGAATGCTGAAGCAGTTTGGGGGACTACCTGCTCATGTTTGTCAGATAGTTTGAGAAAAATGAAAACCACCATATAAACAGCAGGATCTGGATCAATGTTGGGGTATTTGGATTGAAGGGAAAATCCTACTACCATGACTTCATGCTGGCCCATTCTTCAAGTGAGGGCTTCATCTGTGCTTGCTGTGTAAAGGAAGGACTGGAGGTGGGGACAGGGAGCATGTGTGTTAATAGGAAGGGACATGACAGTGTCCTGCACACTGCCTGAGCTTTGGAGTCCAGCATACCTGATTGTATAATGTTGAGATGTCATTGGTTTATTTGAAATCTGTTTCCTTAAATTTAAAATGAGATTCTAAGAGTACCTCCTTTGTAGACTTTTCTTGAAGATTAGACAAAGTGTATGTAAAATGCCAGGAACCCTGTTTGGCTGGTCCTTAGTAAATGGTAAGTGTGTATAATTGCTGTACTCCTCAGAACTATTCATGGTATTGATCATTGGTGTTATTGATTATTCATAGTAATTTTGCCACTGATTATGGTCAAATATATTTTTGAGTTAATTGCAAGTCTCCAGAAACTAAGAAACATGACTTTAAATGTACAGACGTAAAAATCTGTCTAGGGTAGCTCTCAGTAATTCACATGCTTGCTTATGAACTGTCCGTTCTGTATAACAAACATTTGGGGGCATGGTTAGGTACTTACTTCACATGAATGCAGAATGATCTGCATTTTTTGTTGGTTCTTAGGATTTACGTGTAATTGATGAATAATTTTTTGTTTTAGAATTATGTGATACTTTTTAAACAGTATAATCCTGATCTTGACTTCTCAGTGCCTTTAGGATTGGCTATGTGATTTTCAGGCTTATCAAAGGATAACAGGATGTAGTGTATTTTTCTTGTTGGCTAAACTTGTGTCTTTATTTCCACTTACTAAATCAAGTGTTGCTGGTAGTTGTGTATCTGAAAGTCTCTGACAGTTGCATATTTGTCGTTTACATGCCAGCAATTCAGGCTTTGAAAATTCAATGTCTGTTACAGATTTGTTCATTTCTCCTCCTTTAATTATATTGCATTTGATAAGCAATCTCTTACATGCACAATACCTTTGTTGTCACTGTTGTTTCATAGAAGGATTTAAAAAACATATTTCAGGTAATGTTAGAGTGCTAAGTTGAAATCCAATCACATTTAATGTTAACATTTGCAGAAAATTCAACCAAGTTGATAGTCATAACCTGTGTTCAGCTAAAATTATACGTTTGTGTTAGCTGACTTCTCTGTCTGAAGTCAACAGGTTTCTTTGGGCATACATAATATAACCAGATTTCCAAGATTAAAATTAAAACCTGCATCTTAACACAAGGGAAATGTGGTGTTAACAGTAAATGTAAGTACCAGTGACTGGGCGCTGATAATTTGTTTCATGGGAGTTAATCTGCAATCAGTGCTTGAATTCCGACTCTCACTTCAACAGGTTGAATTGCCTTGGGCAGGTTATTTCTTTCCCACTAGAATGTATGCACCATATTGTAATGGATTTGTTCATTACATTCTGATTGTCATTGCAGTAGTGGCGAAAAGTTTATAGGAGACATGGGAAAAATATTTGTTGTATGACTGGATGAAAAAATCTCTCTGTGTCAGATATGGGCTTTAAGGGTGGGGACTGGTGACTAATGCCTGTGAACCATTTTGGCTTCTTCATCCTTCATTCAACTCCCTGCTTTGAATTTCTTCTTGTTTAAAGCAAATAGGTATTCCCCTCTTGTTTTTAGTGCAGTTAAAATTCTATTTATTTATTTGTAATTCGTTATTTGTATCAGTTTGAAAACGTGAGGGAATTCTGCTTCCAAGGCAGCTGTGTTGATCGCAGGCACTTCTCCACCCCGTGTCAATCTCCAGTCATTCCTAGGGTTAGTACCACTGCAGTCATCTGTCACCTTGAAGGCATTTCTGTCAAATCGCTGGACTTCAGGCCTCTTCCATATTCGTCGAGTCACAGCGAAAACTTTTTTTAAAAAGATGTATTAATTTTTATTGCAAAGTCAGATATATAAAGAGGAGGAGAGACAGAGAGGAAGATCTTCTGTCTGATGATTCACTCCCTAAGCGACCTGCAATGGCAGGTGTTGCGCCGATCCAAAGCCAGGAGCCAGGAACTTCTTTCCAGGTCTCCCACACGGTGCAGGGTCCCAAAGCTTTGGGCCATCCTTGACTGCTTTCCCACCATAAGCAGGGAGCTGGATGGGAAGTGGAGCTGCTAGGATTAGAACTGGCACCCATATGGGATCCTGGCACATGCACGGCGATGAATTTAGTCACTAGGCCACAGTGTTGGGCCCAAGTGAAAAATTTTTTATTGACTATGAGCAATCCTAGGAAGCTGAAAAAGGGTTTCCAGGTTAGAGACGTAACTGCTTTAAGTTTCATCTCATTTTTGTTTACCTAAAGTCTCTGTAGGAAGAGAACCATTTACCCATCATTCATGCATCTGTTTATTTACTCATCTCTCAAGAGACATTTATTGAGTACCTTCTATGTAACAAATAATGTGCAATGTTGGTGAACAGATAAACACAGAATCCCTGCCTTGGTGGGACGTAGAATCACTGGGGTGGAGGAGGTCTTATCAAATGTGTGCACAGATAAATACATAGCAACCAACTGTGAAGTGCAGTGTGAAGGCAATGTCCAGGATGCTATGAAAGTGCAAACTGGAAGGTCATGGTTGTAGGCCCTGCCCTCTCGTCAATTAGTTGTGCAATGCAAGGCACACTCCTTTGTCACTGCCTCAGTTTCCCCCTTTATAAGAAACTGCCTGTTTCACAGGACCTGAAAGAAGCAACCCCAAGAAACAGCTAAACAGAGTTATTTAAAGCCTGAGGGCAATGGCACTGTCAGAGGACTGCAGCTGGCCGGGTCTCTGGAGTCTGGGGCGTCTTTATCGTCTTTATCGTGACCCAGCTTGTGGTGAGGTGGTCATTGTTTAACTGCCCCCATCGTCCAAAAAACCTCCTGAAAGTTAACATTTTCCATCAAGGCTAATTTCAAGGTATCCATGTTTGCCACTAGGTACTGAGTCAGGAAGGTACAGTGAGCAGAACAGCCCAGCCACTGCTCCGGGTTGTGTGTGGTGTTGAGGAGGGGGCATGATGAACACAGCTTTTGCCAACAAAAAGGAAAAGTATGCATCCGACACATTCTTGTATCTAGAAGATCTAGAAGCGCTGTCTTCCTGATTTAAACATGGCAGACTCAAAATGCTTATTGCTTCAGGACTAGGAAAATAGTGGGGTACCCCCACCCAGTTTACCACCCATGGGGGCATGGGGACGGTATTTAGGATTATGAATTTAAGAACTTATATTCCAACTTAATGTCTGCTCGATGTTCAGCAAATAATGCCTCTGAGATGTAATATGTTCAAACTTGGGTTTTTGTCATTAGAGGTGAGTTCACATCTGAGATCTGTTACTTTCCATCAATGTGACCTTGGTCAACTTGCTAACCTGGAGGCTATTCCCTCATCTGTAAAATATGAACAATGACACCTCCTCAGAGCTTTCTTGTTGGATTAAATAAGGTCATGTATACAAAATGCCTAGCTTTGAACTTGTTATTGAAAGTTAGTCTTTGAAATCCTGAGTCACAGATCAAGTACACAGGTGTTAAGGACCTAGTTGATTTCCTGATGTTGTCAAAATTAGCAGCTTTCCTCTGCCACCTGCACTCCTGTGCTGTAGCCAGTTGCTTTTCAGTGGATCTC